GGGGGTGAAATTTAGCTGATAGGGGATTGTTTGTTGAAGTGTGTTAGACTTTGTCAAAGAAGCAAGTGTGAATTAATGTCTAATAAGTCACCACAAATTTAATTTTAAGGAACTATTAGATGTAAATTGGAATTTTAAGCTTGTTAAAATGATAATCTGTTGAAAGTTACTACTTCAAGGTTTGAAGTAACTTAATTTCTTTATAGTCAGAAAAGTTCCAAGTTTTCCTGTTTGTTATACCTTGTTGGCTTTGTTGTTGCTTTGCAAACACAAGCAAAGAAATAAAACGTGTATCTTTAAATGATTGATCATGATTACTCTGTGTTAACTCCAGAACCAGCTGCTGATCCCAGCCATACTGAGGTGTGACAGTGACAGAGTGAAGGCAGTCCTCACTTCAGCTGAGCAAGAAACAAGTAAGTGGTAGTCACCTTTAGAATAGGGAAGATGCTTTATTTTATAACTTTGGTTTAATAAATGCAATGAAATCAAATAAATATTTCCCAAGAGCATGTTGAATTTGTTAATCTACCCCCCCCCCCCCTTTGGTTGTGGTGATAAGAGGTGGGTTAGGAGAGAAAAGAAATATTAATGAGTCATAAATTTGCTGCACCTAAATCCTACAGTCCTTCTATGTGTCATAATTACTAAAATTGGTGTGTTCAGTACCTTGCCTTAAACCAAGCAATAGCTGTCTCAAACTTGAATTTTTTCCTATAGATGGCAGCACCAAACAAAAGCTGATCCAGGATCTTCTTGGAGAGCGTTGTGATGGCAACAAGAACATCCTCCACACCACTGTGGCCGCCTGTGCTCCCACCTCAAACAAGGAAGAGAATGGTAAGCTTATGTATAAGAACAGGATACACATACTGTAGCCACTTGTATTCCCACAGAAACAAGGATGAAAATAGTAATCTTAGGAAACCTGACAAAAGAAAAGGAAAAAGGAAAGTGTCAGTGAATATTCATATTGATGTTCTTGTGATATTCCCAGATCCAAATTCTGTCACCACAGCAACTCCATCAGCTCTGAGCTCTGCCATAGAGGCTATCAATGCTGTGAGCAGCGCTGTGGATGCTCTGACATCTATACACAACCGAGGCAGTGGCAGTGAAACTGCTGACAGGCTGGCCGCTAGAAGGTATGATAGTCTTTCCATGTTTGTACTCTCTGTGTATGATATGTGTGTACTTGTGTGTCTATGTTTTTGTGTATGTGCATGGATGCTCGCAAGGAACAGTTTTGACATCACAAGTGTGGCAGCAAGGATTATGCTGTTCTCACTTCCATATATTTGTGCATGCATGAGTACATGTATGTAAAAATCATGGTCAATAGACTGAGTATAAATACATCTATATGTTCACTTATATCTTACTATACTCACACATTTTACAGTGTCAGTCTACGTGAGATGATGCGTCGCGCGACGTCTGCCGCCAGAGCCTTCAGTAACATGGATCCCAGGGAGCAGAGTGGGGAGAGAGAAGAGCCACCCCCGGGGCTACCTATCCCTACCCTCAGCTGGCCGCCAGACCCCCAGGAGTTCACCCCTCTAAGAGCAGGTAACCTGAACTGCTACCACTAGCAAGATTTGTTTTATATTACTGACTTAAAGAATGGTGATGAGAGCAATGATTGATTTAAATATCCTGAAATAAAGAATATTGATAGGAATGAGAGAAGTGAGAATGAGAGAGAGAGACAGAGACCTAATAATGATGATATTTTAATAATCACCATGTTAAAGCAATAAATTTATTCATATTTTATGGCCACACTATAATTNATTTTTTTGTGTTGACCAAAAGTGAGAAAATGAAATGAGCATCACAGATCAAAAATGTGAGAAGAAAAAAAAAAGACAAAACAAATATCCATATAGATAAGCTATGTACTTTAGTAGTTAAGGGTAGTTAGGACGTCACTAAAGCAGCCATTTTCTCTCCCATAGCTCCACCAATCCTGCACAGGGAGGCGTAGCGCGCCAGCGGGGCGGCACTCGTTTTGCTGACGCTCAGGCGCTGTTATTGGTTTCTGATGCCGCAGGTGCTGTGGCCATACAGGAAGTTGGGTGAGCGCATTTATTCTACATATGCCGGCCACAGCTTCTGACTCTTTTTGCTTACTGTATGCACATGTATATTTATATATATTATATAATTATGTATACCTACACTTTCAGGGTCTTACGCCTGACTGACTGGCTTCAAACTGATCATGAATGTGTTGGCATTTAGTCTTTTCACATGTTTTAGGTTTGGGGCGAATTTACTGTTCTTTCTTATGGATTGAATTGAAATTATTCATGGGATTGGAATTCCTTTGCCTTAGAGATTATTGAATAACCTTTTTTGTATTTAATTCTGTTGATCAATTTTATTTTTGTACTCTTTACATTTTTTATTTACACAGATTGATTTGATAATTTTGATTTGATCCAAAGTTTTGAAAAGCAAAAAAAAAAAAAAAAAAGCACTATCCCTGTGCATTGCAATTCTATTTTATAATATGTCGTGGACTACTTCTTTGTGTCACATTCAGAATACTCTGATATTGTGGTGTGTGTGTGTCCCTGTGTCTTTGATTGTCTTTGATATGTTAGTGAGTGAACAGGAAGAAAAACTTATGTTAAATACAGGAGTTATAGCCATAGTTCTCCTCAAACTAGATCATGTCAAATGTTTGCTGGGATGTTTAATCATTGTGTTTGTTTGATAAGCCAATTGCTGAAGAATTTCAGATAAATGAATGGTCTTCCCAGAAGCTTTGATATTTTGCCATTTTATCCAGCTTTAAAGTGTTGATTTATGTGTATATTTAGTCAGCAATAAACTGTCTAGGTCTTAAAAATTCATTTATTCTCAGTAGTAATAATAATAATAATAATAATTTATTTTAAGTCTAAAATTAATAAAAGTTTGTTAAGTAGTCTTAACAAGAATTCTTACATACAAGAGACATATACATAGTATAATGCACAGCAGTAAGACGTAAATCAAATAAATGCAGTAATTATTAACAATTAAGGCAAACACATTAAAAACTCATTTCCTGACCATCAGGCCCAGTTGTTATTTAGGTGGGCCACCAACTTGGGTCAGATGAGAATGAAAATTTTGGTTTTGACTTTTAGAAGACTTCTATAATCAAATTCTTTTGTGAAACTTAACCCGGAATAAGAAGTCATTGACAAAGATTCTGTTTAATTTTGAGAAATTCAACCCAGAATAAGAAGATCTCATTTAAAAGTGATTTTCACCAGTGCTGACAGAGATTATGTTTTTTCAGACGCTGGGGAGCCATGAACAACACGCCCTCTAGCTCGCGGGGGACCACAGGACAGGCAGCAGGGAGCAGTCTGACTCGTGCTCCTCCACGCCCCCACGGCCGTGTGGTGAGAGCAGCAGGGCGCGGCAGGGGAGGGGTTATAGTGGGGTCAAGGCCACTGGTCCCGGCCAGTGTGGTGCCAGAGGATTTGATTAACCAGGTGAGGTGACTGCTAGAGGGCGCTTTGATCCAAGACAGGGAGGGTTATATATTAGTTATAGCATGCACTAGACTCTTTCAATTCACCTTACCACAGATAATGACGCATGGGGGATAAATTGTTAATTAACAGGTGGCATTTCCTCTAGTTGTGGTAGCATGCATTTTTATATATAAGCAAATTTTACATATAAGTGGAATAACTAAATATAATTAGTATTATTCTGATTAGGTTATGTTCTTTTAAGTCAAATTCTTAAACTAGCTAAATGAATGCTTCTTTTCTTCTATTCAGTGCCAGGTTGTGCTGCAAGGAAAGTCTAGAAACTTAATTATCAGAGAACTACAGAGAACAGTAAGTTTACAGTCCTGAACATTGCTTCTTTTGTTTTTTATAAGGTGTTCTTTTATTGAAATGCACTTTGGTTTTCACCGATAGTGATCTTCACTTCAGGTTTATTCTTGACTCTTCATTTTATTCAGGAGCTTGAAAAATTTAATACATCCACAGTTTGTTGCCTAATGTTATACAGTTCCATCAGAATCCAGATGTAAGTTTAATTCATTGTGCTGCACAGTTTATAACCTTAAGGCATAATGTCTCTTTAGAATCTAGATGTCAATTTGGCTGTCAACAATCTTCTGAGCCGTGATGATGAAGGTGATGAGAATGATGAAGATAGCCAGGATTCTTATATGCAAGGTAACTGGGAATCTTTGCTGTCTCACCTGGTAGTTGATGTACTGTCCATAGTAAATGAAGTTGTCTTGTGTCTGGAAGTAATATGATCGATGATTTGATGTGCAGGAATGTTCAGAAGCTGTGTTTCACCTTTCATGCCTATCTTTCAAATTCAATTCCCTGTTAAAGGGATAATAACTCTTCATATGAGATCTATATTTCACAATAAAAACATTGTGAACAATTCATAGAAATATAATATAAACGGCAGGATTCATTAACCATTGGTAATTATTGGAAAATTATTGTTTACTCCAGGAAAATTCATTTTTTGGCCAAAACGAAGAGTTATTATCCCTTTAATGATTGGTCTTTATCTTTGGTTTTGTTCCAGATGACCTGATATCACTGCTTGATGCCGGTATCCATGCCGACCACCCTGGTTATATTATAGATGCTGATGCCATGTTTAACGAGGACATGTTTGGCTACTCTAGCTTGAGGTCACGACCCAACAGGGGAAGAGGTGCCAGTGAGTAGACTTTCAGTTGCATTAAAAATAACCAAATAATGACTTTAAAAGTCTGTGATATCAGCAATGCCTTCTCTTCGAAGCTTGTATTCTTAGAACCTGGTTGGTTTATTTTGAATATTTGTTGTGCTGGTTTCTGACCACTGTATTTGCTGTGGGTCATAAAATTTGTTAGACCTTGGTGGAACAAAGTGCCCACTTGACCAAAAAAGTTTTTGCTGGAAACTGTAGAGTGACATAATGGGATGGAATGTAAGTGCCCTGATTTGAAAGCAGAAAACCTTTCTTGATTATTATTGAATTCTTCTGTAATAAGAGATCGTAAATAGAGTGCATAAAACAAAATTTGCCTCACTGTCTTATTCGCATAACAATACATCACTTTAACCTCTTTCTACCAACAGCAACTGACAGAGACAGCACTCTGGAGAGAGAACGCGAGTCCATGTTTCGACTGCGGGACCGGCGTTGGCTGGACAGTGCCCTCCGTGATGAAAATGCTTTGCGGAGTCTGGACCGTGACCGTACTGAAGGTCTTCTGGGAAACGAACCACTGAACAAAAAAAAGGCCAATCCATCTCAGAACCCCATGTGTTTTGGAGAGGAGTTACAGTTCTGGAGTGTTAGGGTAAGATCAGGCATGGTTCTGGCCTTGGTTTCACAAAAAACTTAAGTCAGGTTCCCTGGCTAAGAACTTAAATTACTAAGGTTACATGGTCACCTGGGCACAACTTAGCCTATCAGGAGCAGTGTAACAGCACTCTCATGGAAATCCTAGTCAACTAAGCCAGGGAACTGACTTAAGTTTTTTTTTTGTGAAACTGTGACCTGGTCTGTTTGGGCTGGTCTTTCTTGGTACAAGCTGTCTCAGTGGACCAGTTGGGTCCAGTCTCATCAACACTGGATTATGGCAGTTTTTAAGTGTTTTTCATATCTTCAATACCCTTATGATTTACACCTGGTGGGTAAAAAGTGTGTATCCTTCTGCATTTTGAGTAAATATTTCATAATAGGCATTATATTGCCCTGCTTCCGTTATGGATTTTCTAAAAATGCTCAACGATACATTCTTGTTGCCCAACAGATATATATTAAAAGGGTTATAAGGATGCAAAAGCACTAAAAAAAACTGTTGCTGATATTGGTCACTATACCCAAAACCCATGTTTTGCAATCTCACTAAAAGCAGAAAATGTACAAAGAGTGGAAATGGAGGAAAAATTTTCAGTTTGTATAAAATTATATAATTTCAATTTTTTGAATTCGGACTTTTCAGTGATAGCATAACAAAATATGAGATGATATAAATAACCTGTAGATGTCTCTGGTATCTTCCAGGACGGGCCTACCCCCAAGTTTATCCAGATAGCCAGCATGCACAGTGAGCTGGTGGCATTGAGCTCTACAGGTCAGCTGTTCCAGTGGAGGTGGATGGACATGGAGCCTTTCTACTGTGCTGAGGTGAGACTCAGAAATCACCAAAACTATCATTGATTCATTTGTTTTAATCATAAAAAGCATTAACAGATACCAGTGAAATGAATACAATTCCATACATTTGCATTTAAAACAAGTGTTGACATAAATTAAAGCTTAGAAGCACATTTCTTAGGCTGTCCTAGTCTGCTGCAAGTTGATTTTGATTTGCTATTTTATTCAGTATAGTGTAAAGAACCTGTAAATTGCAAATGGAAACATTTAATGCTTAATAAAATTATGATATTATTATTATTATTTTTATTATTATTCCAGAGCCCTTACCTCCACCACCCTAAGACATCACAGCTAGGCCTGGTGTCAGAGAAAATCATAGGACTGGCAACATGTAGTGTGAGAGCCTCTCTCTTCACAGAGTCTGGGAAGGTGAGGAGTATGAGAGGACAAGAATGCTAAAAATATTTATTTATTTATTTGTATATTTTTGGATAGACTTATAGAGATTTTTAAAAACATTTTTGTTCAGACTCTGTTATCATTAGTTTTGTATAATAAGCATACATTTTGTTCAATTTATTTTATTTTATAATTGCATGGGCAAAGAAAATGTTAAAACATTTTTGTGCAGAAAATGCTATCATAACCTTTGTATTTTAACTTTGCATTTAATTTTTGCTTTATAATGTAAATGAATTGGTAATTATGTTTTAATGTTATAATTTCAACCACTTGTAACTCAGGTCGCCACATTTGTTGATGATTCACTGGGGATAGTGGCGGCCAAGTTGGAACATGCCGCCCAGAGCTTTGCCGAATTCACCTCAGACAAAATTGTATCACTCCACGCCTGCTCCCTGTATACGTGTGCCAGACTGGAGAGTGGGGCCCTCTATTGGTGGTGAGTGGAAACAAGAATTTTATTGCAAGGGGTGGGAGGGGGTGAGGATTGGAAAAAAATAAATCTGCAGTTTACTGTCAATATAATATTGGTTTTAATGATATAATTTTTCTTTTTAATATCAATAATGAAACAAGGTGTTTAAATTGCTTTAAAAACCCGAGTGTATAGATATATTGTACTTGTTGTTCGAAGGGGGGTGATGCCATTCGGCCAAAGAAAGAAACTGATTGAGAAAGCAAGAGCCAAGACCAAGAAATCCAAGCACAGTGCGTCCACAGCCTCTGACATACAGTGTGGAAGTCAGGTAGGAGAGAGATTGGGGAGGAGGGGGGTGGGGGGGAAGAAGATTGAACTGAAAATTTACTGATATGATATTAGATAAAACTGGGAGATGATGTAAAGGAACCTTATGGTAGAAACAAGAGAGAGAGAGAGAGAGAGAGAGAGAGAGAGAGAGAGAGAGAGAGAGAGAGAGAGAGAGAGAGAGAGGGGGGTTTGTTACAG